GCCAGTGATGCCAATGAAAACCACCAGAGAGTAACAAGGAATAATGAGAGGCTTAAAGAACTGGACAAGCTGGAGCCCCAGGAAGAGGCTGCTGGTGTTGTTCTGAATTGCAGAAAGAAAGCTCTGAGAAGTCAGATTTGCTGGATCCATTGCCTTTTCCCACTGTTATAATTTTCTTGCCAATAACATTAATTGGGGCACATAAACATGCCCGTATGGTCATTATTTTTTTTAAAAAAAATCATCCTGGGAGGATGGACAGATTTTATCTTGAGTTTGGCCACCTTACATTTGCACATATTCATCTGCAAAAGACAAGACGCAGAGATGAGCCTCAGTAGACACGTCCTTACACATAGGAATAATAAGATACAATTAATCCACTGGGACCCTCTTTTCTTCCACATAAATCCAACTCTGTCCCTTTAAAAGCATGCTACTGAGAAAATCATTATTATACTAAGAACTATACTTACAGCTGTTATCTCCAGAAGTCCGATGTCATTCTGCACCTTCTTCTTCTAATCTCATTTGATTTTCAACTCCATGACCACTTAGAGCTGCTTGTAACAGCAAGAGGGAGAGAGCAAGCAAGCAGGCATGGACTTGGTGAATCGAAGGTTTTTAGCAGTCCTCACTATATATTCAAAATGAATTTGGGGGGAGGGATCTCTCTCCGTTTAGTGTCTTCACTAAAGTATTTCTCTCTTGATTGGCGAACCATCTCTGAGACACTTTATCAACAAGAACATCTGAGCGAAACCGGGCGCAGAGTTTCCTGCTTACAGCCCCTGAAGCAGAGCGAGCCTTTGGCGCCGCTGACTTTTTAGAAAAGAAATGTTGCTGAAAGGATGAAGTAGTAAAAAAATATTATCACCACTAGAGGGACTCAGAACATCGAAAAATCTTTCCTGCAGTTGTGAGTTAATGTTGAATCATATTTAACTATAGGTGTGCCTCGGACGTTTGTTGGTTCCACCAAGTTTAGTATGTTGCATTAAGTTTGGAAAATGAAGTCCCTCATCTGCTTAACTTGTATGTTATCTGCATTTATACTGCCAAGAAATGAGCAATATGTGTTATGAATATAATAGACTGATAGTAATCAGACTGAAATTTTCATTTGTTTCAAGTAACCATGCGAGCACAGGGAATTAGTTACTTGATGCCAGATAGTTTGGTATTTTATTTATTCTCTATTCTCCTGCTTCTTTTCCTGTTTCTAACACTCTTTGCTGGAAAATGATTTCAGTACAATAAATATTCAAAGTGGGTTTTGTTAGTCTAATAGCTATTTCTGTATTTTCTGTTTCCAGCTTCCAGTGAGAGTGCTTAAATTATCTTCTCAGAGAACAGCCACACTGAAGTGTATTCCATTATCATCAAATGTTGACCATTGGAGGAAATAATTGTATAGCCCTCAATTGTAATCATATTCTGAACTTTGCTGGTTATCCCAAGATAACTTGTTTTGAATTTAAATTCATTGTTTTGCATCAATAAATACCATCAGTTTGTTTTATCCTTGTTCAGAGATTAACTCATCGTCTCCATGAATATGAATTCACAGTTTACATAAATAAGGCAAATAACATAAAAAATAACTGAGATTGGAAAGCTTCGCAGATTTTTTTTTTCAGAACAATCACTGAAATTTTGATGGCTCTGGTTTTAATAACTCCTAATAGAGTCATTAAAAATCAAATGTTTGGTTATAACCATGTAATTAAAGCTCTGCTTATTTTTAGAGAAACACACAAAGTCCTCAAGTTGTGCATGTTTTCCCCAGACCTAGAAAGACACAATTTTTGAAAGAATTAAAATTTTGACTCATTATAAGACAAAAGTTGTTATCAAATAAAACAGCATAACTAGCTTTTTTTCTATTTCAATCCAACTTTGAATAGTGTTTTTATAAGAACTGAATTGGTGGATTTACCAGCTGCAGGGTAAATACAGAATAATAAATTCTCATCTAATGCTTAAGTAACTGAGTAAATAGTAAGACTAACTCTGAAAACTTGAGATGGAATTCTCTTTGTAGGGAGGAGGGCATCAATCCAGAATTTAAAACTGTTATTTGTAAATGTGTATACAAAACTGGTTGTATCTGTTCAAGGTGATTAACCATAAAATCATAGAATGTAACTTGGAGAACCCTTAGTCAAACTCCCAGTCCACTGCAGGAATCCACTACTACAGCATTCCCCATCATTGAATATCCATCCTCTTCCAGCTAAGGAAAACCCATCACCTTGAGACAGTCAATTTGAAGGATGTCTGAATAACTTTAATCTTTAAGAATGTTTTCCTGAGGTCCAACCAAAATCTACTTACCTGTGACTTAAACTCATTGTTTCTTGTTCTGCCTTGTAGAACAATTCTGAATAATTCTGTCTCATCTTTTACATGACAGCCTTCAGATACTGATAGACAACTTAATGTCTTCCTGCAGTCCTCTTTAGCTCCAGGTTAAATAGATCAGGGCTTTTCAACCTTTTCACCCGTTTTACCACTTTTAGGATATGGCAATATCCGAGTACCACCAGTTGCCTAGCAAGGTGTCAAAAACTTGACAACCACTCCCCCAAAAAAGGAAAAAAGTGATAAAGTACAGTTAGTCCTGCACTTACAACAGTTTGCTTAGTGACTGTTTGAAGTTACAATAGCACTGAAAAAAGTGCCCCCCAAGCCAGAGTCGAGCAAGACACCTGCCTGCCTGCCCGCCCAGCGGTGCTCTTCCTCCTGTCCGAGGTTTTCATTGTTGTGAGCATTTCTGTTGAGGATTGGCAGCGGGGCTGGGGTGGGGGGTGTATGGTTTTATTCCCCCCCCCCGTCTGCTGGGTGGTTGCAGCAGGTTTTGGTCACTTCACATGACCCTGGGACACTGTGACCGTCATAAATATGAATCAGTTGCCAAGCATCTGAATGTAAATCACAAGACCCTGGAGATGCTGCAACATTCCAGCTGATCGGCGCTTCTTCTGGGCTCAGCAGAATCAGTGCTGAATTCTAGCTGGAGCCTGGTGCTGATCCTGGCGCTTCCACTAAGCCCTGACAGCCCTGCAGCTCCAGCCATCTCTTGCTCAGGCTTGTGCGGTGCTGCCACCAGTTCAGCTCATTTCTCTCCCTCACTACCACTTTTCTAGGATGGTCGCGTACCACCTGCCAGGTGCCAGTGTACCACAGGTGGTACTCGTACCACTGGTTGAAAAGCCTTGAAATAGATCCAGTGCCTCCCACCATTCCTCATACATTCCTATCTTCTTGACTATTGTCCTCTAGAAATAGCCTAGTTGGTCAATATTTTTTATAAATGTGGTATCCAGAAATGAACACTATTTAGGTGTAGTTTGACTATTCTAGAACAGAGTTATTTATACTATTCTTCTGTTGATGTAGTACAGGATTTCCTTTCCTTTCCTTCTTCTCCTCTCCTATCTTTTCCTTGCAGCTGCACCATCCAGTTGCTTCAGGTTCAGTTTGTGATCCAACAAGACATCAAGGTTTTCTTCCACTTGCCCAGTATGAGCACTTATCCTATATTTATGCCATTGATTTTTCCTACCAAACACAGATGACATTTGCATCTTCTCAGATTAATTTTGCTGGGTTTTCAGAAAAATATTTCAGCTTCTTAAAATTCTCCAGAGCCTTGCTACTGTAGTCTATCTTTGGGTCATCTGCAAATTTGCTAATCATATTTTGTAACCTCATCCAAGTTTTTTATAAAGATGATCAACAGTACAGCCCTAGAAGGGTTTATTCCTTTAAAAAATATTCAGACATTGCTGCAACCATGTCTTTATAAAGCCTGTAATTTCTGAATCTGTACAGCAACAAGTCAGTTGATCAATAGATGGCAGCAAACACTTTGATTAAGATATAACAAATCATCATCACTCCCAGATCATTGGAATGAATGCTTCCCATGTTTCTGGTCAATATTAAGTCAACTCCTACTTTCAGAAAGGATAATTGTGTAAGTTTCTTCACACAAAAAGAAAGTGACACCTCAAAGGCTAATATATTTATTGTGACTTAAGTTTTATGGAGACAAGTCTATTTCATCATGTCCATGAAGCATGTTCCTTATTTGGGAAACATATTTGCACAGAGATACAGATGAGGGAATGACACTGTAAAGTCAAAGAAATAGAATGCCAAACTTATGGATTGTGACAAATATATTAAAGTATAAATTATGTAAAGTAAATAGTGACAATTCACAGAGCTATATTGATAATAAAAGCACAATTCTTATAGCTATGTTTATTGATGCATATCATCCTTTTTAACAGTGTGAAGATGTTTTAATGTTGCATTCTCAAACCACTCATATAATATTATACATTAGTTGAATGTATTTTTATATTCAGTTAACCATGTTTGCACTGCTTCCATAACTAGTCATTCTTGATATATGGATCTGATGAAGTGAGAGATGGAATTCTGTGCTTCCAAGCAACTATAAGTATTGGAAAGATTTAGCAGGAAAGATTTCAATGACTTACAGAGAAGGAAGGAGCTATGAAATATGCCATGAAATACAATTTTAACAGATGTGCAGCATCACTTATATAATATATATAATATCTGCAATATTTTCAGTAAAACATCCACCACTCTTGTAATCCAGCAGAATATTTTTATACATCAAGGAAAGAACAAATCTCCTACTGCCAGAGACTTTCACTGATACCAAAATTAATTTATTAAAAATGCATTTTAATCCCATTTGCTCTCCACTGCCAGGTTTGCATATGAATATGTTCTTGGTTGTGTTAGAGAAGGACAAACAGATCTGGGGTGGAAAGGGAAACATGCTATAAGTTTAGAGTCCACAAGAGATCCAAGTTCAACCTTCCTTGAATTCCACCAATCCTTATTTAAAAGAAATGTAGGGCTGACCGTTATCCCAAAAATGCTTTTCAAAAGCAACTGGACTTTCTTAGGCTTTTTTTCCCCCCTTGAAAATGTTTTGCTTTTCATCCAAGAAGCTTCTTCAGAAAAAAAGAAAAGAAAACTAAGAAAGTCCATTTGCCTTTTGAAAAGCAACCATGACCTGGATGACATTTGCTGACCATTGGTTAACCAGATTCTTGTTTATAGGGTTCAATAAATCGTTTTGCTGCAACCTTCATGACTAGTCCTAATTCTTTGTTTTTTGTTTGTTCATTTGTTTGTTTTATGGAGCCTGCCATTTGTTATGTTTTGGGTTTTGTTTTGTTTTTTTTATAAAGCAGCAAGATTTGGCTGTTATCTTCAACACAAAAATACTGCTGTTTTCAACACGGAATCATTAAACTATAGACTCTTTGTCTGTCAGGAGACCAGGTGCATTATTGATCAGATAACAACACTCACAGTTGCACTTTGTCCAGAGGGAACTACTTTCCTTGGCCAGGCAAGTAATTTTTTAAGTTCTTCCCTAAAGCTATCATGAAGCCAGGCATATATGAAGGGGTTATAACAGGCAGAACTCATAGCAAACCAATGGCAAACCAGTTGGATAAGGCTGAAATAATAAGCGTCAATTGCATTAATGTTAATGTCCCGAATAAAGTTGAAGGCATGAAGGGGAAGCCAGCAAACTCCAAAGACCACCACTACTATGACCAACAAGCAGAAGGTCCTTTTCCGCCTAGCTCTGTCCCAGTCTGCCTGGTTTTTAGTGACACTGCCCGGCATCACCCTGTTTTTTAGTTTGAGGGAGATCTTGATGTAGGAAATGAGGATGGCCAGCAAAGGAAAAAAATAAGTAACGAGCAGCAGGCACAAAGCATAGGTTTGTCTTTGGTGTTCCTGATCCCCCCAGAACTCCTCACATAGGATGATGCCTTGCTGGTCCAGCTCCACATAATAGGTATGTGCCATAGCTGGCAAGGCTAAGCAACAGGACAAAATCCAGATAAAGAGGATCATATAAGCACTAAGCTGAAGGGAGACACGGCGTCGCAAAGGGTGTATAATGACAATGTATCGATCAACTGCAATGGTGACCAAGGTGAAGATAGAGACATAAACAGTCACTGGCTGCATGAAGTAGACAAAATAGCACATTGCGCTGCCAAAAATCCAGCCCCGTGGCTCAAAAACATAGGCAAGAGTAAGTGGGACGCATGTGGTGCACATCGCCACATCTGAAAGGGCTAGGTTCCCAATGAGGAAGTTGGTGACATTGTGCATCTTCTTGACATGCAGAATGACATGGACCAGGAGGCAGTTACCTACCATCCCGATAATGACCACACCTGTGTACAACAGGATGATCAGCAATTTGAGTCGCTGCACCAGCTGCAAACCCTGGAAAAATATATTGGTCCCATTCGTAGCAGAGTCGAGAGCTAGTGCACTGGTGTTTATAGGAAGGGTGCTAGAACCTTCAAATGATGCATACATTTTGTCCTGTAAGATAATAAACAGTAGTTGTAAGTATGCTCTTTAGACATGATCCACTTATTCTGATTGTGGATTCATATTTCTATTTGTATCTCATTTACATTTACAGTACCCAAATCTGCTTCTTCATGTAATAAAATGTTCATTTCCAGCATCAGAAAAAGTATGTGTGCACACAAACACACTCATCCACATACATGCATATACACAAACATATATTTTATTTTAATTATTTGGTTACTCATGTTACTGTTTTACTTTTGTTTGTAGGAGAACAAAAGAAGGGCTACAAAGAATTAGGAGAAAATGATAAAGGAAATACATATTCAGATTGCTAGCTTTCCAATCACAACATAAAATTAGTACACCCACAGACTCATGTACCCTAATTTCTGACTTTTAAGCAAGTAAATGGACACATATTTTAAAGCAGGTTTCAGCCCACGAGATTAACTCCAGGTCTTCCTTCCCTACCACTCAATCTAAATTAGGCTGTTGAGTTAAATGAGTTTCAGAATCAAAAAGGAAGCGTCAGAGAAAAATGGGTGACTAGTAAATTTTGATTTTGACCATATCTATGGCTTAATTGCTTATGACCCCCAACAGATAAATGTTTTAAAACCAATTGCTAAGGAGATGCAGTTATCAGCACTTAGTAGCATTAAAGACATGGCAGATAGAAGCTATTCTGGAAAGACCAATGGAAGATCTTTTAGGAGTTGTATGTGTGTGGGTGAATGTGTGTGTGTGTGTGTGTGTGTGTGTGTGTGTGTGTGTTTATGCACTGATGCATGAGAACGTGATTTTCAGAAATACTGTATTCATGCCTGCAAGATCCCCTTTTGATTTCCTTTTGTCATGTTATAATGTACTTGATGAAAGATGAGAAATTCTAGAAGAAAATTAGAATAGAGCTATATGTTGCAAAATCATAAACATTAAAGTATTGATTTTCTTAAGATGGAGCTCATTCTTGCAAATCGATATAGTTGTCTTGGCTCAGTCTTTTAATAAATTGACCAGAAAAAAAGTATGGTTTTCTAACATCTCCTCTCCCCCCACCCCCAACACATACACATGCCAATCTTGAAAATTCTTCACAACAATAATACAATTCCATCAATATACAATCCATCATCATGCAAATAATAGTGATAATAATGATGATGATCTAGAAACTGAAATATGTTGTTACCAGTCTATAGTACTTCCAGTCTACCTGTGGCTTTTTGATTACTGTTTTATTTTCCTTAGTGGAAAAAGCTTGTTTACATGTTTCTATCATCTAGTAAAAGAACATAGGCTGAAGATTTAGAGATAGTATTCCATCCAATGGAATGTGCATGGAGAGGTTTTTATTGCTGTTATCAAATAGAATTGGAAAGTATCTTTAAATCTACTTGCTGGAGGATCAAGTTAAAAATCATCAATGTCATATATATTCAAAAAAATATCTGTTAATTAATACTTATTGATTCTCTTCACCCATGATTTTCTTTTTTAAGATGATCTTTTCACAACCTATATACTGGTATCCATTTCAGGTTATCATATCCATGTTCCCACATCCTACAGAGTCGAATAATTAAATAAATATGTAAATAGTTAGCCCATAGATCTATTTCTATTTGTGGAACTTTTATGAATAGACGTGCAAACTGCACTTCTGGGAACAACTCATTTAAAATAAAATTGCACAATAAAATCAGAGGTATGAAATTATTTTTGAAAATCCATTTATACCTGCTAGAGGTTGGAGTCAAATTTATAATTAATGCTTTCAGATAAGTTTTTGTTTTTTAAGTCACCACAAGCAACAATATCCTTAGAAAAATGCAGGTTACAACAGACCAAATGAATGTGTGTTTAGAGAGTCACATGGACCAAAGCAATATATAATTTATCAATCAAATATTCTCAAGGAAATGCTTATGGGCACTCCAGAGGTCATAATGAACTGCAATAATACTTAGTCATAATAAGCATGCAGCTGACAGAGAAATATATAACAACAAAAACCTTACTGAGCATCAGAAATAGGATTCAAAACATCTCATTTCTCACCTACTGTTACTAGGGTAAGCTGTCCTATTCGTAGCGAAGGGGAGAGAGTCCTGGAGCTGGAATCATTGTCTTCTTGAATCAATATGCTGTGCCTGGCTTGCAAAACCAACCAAACTGATTGAATAAGAGTTTAAAGCGACAGAGATCAATTTTGCTAGTGTGGCATGGCCAGCAATGACTCCCCTCCCTTTTTTTCCTCTTTTAATTATCATATTAAGACTAGACTGAACGGATTGCTATGTCCCTTCCCCAAATGCAAGACTTACTGATGCCCACTTTATCCATTTGAGTTTAATGTTTGCTTTAAAAAGGAAAAGAGAAAGTAAAGGCAAATATCACCACCACCACAAATTAACTGATGCTCAAGAGACTTTCTTCCCCTTGTTCTTTTCCTCAAAATTCTTGAATAGGTCTATTGAGAAACCTGCAAATATTCAGAAATATTTACTTAGCATCCTTAAAATATTTAGCACACTAAAAAGGTAATAAGCCTGGTTAAATAATTTTATTTTTTTTAAACCCCTAGCAAAATATATAAAAATAATTGAAGCATAAGTAATGATCATACTGTATTGGGAGGATTGTAAAGAAGGGTTTGCCCGGTTTTTAGTAATTCCATTAGATGAAGCTATGGGTGTTCTCCATGGTACTGAAAATATCCTCAGAGCTGTTGTAAAAAGTGTCTTCTCGTATCTGGCACCAACATGCTTAATGAACTGTTACATTGCCTGATAGAAACTATGCATACAGAAACAGCTGGGGACCTGCTTCACCCCCATTGAACCCTGACAATAGGAGGAAACATAATGATTTCCATTTCATTAATGCTGTTCCCAAATTGGTCAACAGCTGAGGCTTTGGAGGATATTTATATTTGACTATCAATGAAGAGTTGCTATTACTTTGGTTTTTCTTAAAGAATAATTAATGTTGCAACTGTAGCATAAAATGTATTGAGCATGCTATTTTATCACCAGTCTCATATAGAAACTTAAACATGTTCTCTGGGGCCTATTGCTATTAATAAAAAAGACATCCCAAAAATCTGTCACTAAACACAATGCTGTTGAACGGAATAACTGAACAGTTTATGAACAAATATTAAGTATTTATTTCTTTTCTCTAATGTTCCAGCCTTGTGGCTGCAGAGGGGTGATTTTCCACACTACTCCCTCTTTCTTAAACATCATCAGTGTTTCTTTTGTAGATTGATTAAACTGTGTCCTTTTAACAATATATTTGCGGGAGGAAATAATGAGATGTGTAGGCTATATATTATGGTTTACTTTACAAAATCTGAGTCTCAAAATGTTTTTAATCAGCCATTTGTATATAAACACTTCAAGTTCAGAGGATAATCAGCAGTTTTAGCTGAAAATTGAGCTGCATAGTCAAATTGTGTCTTATGGATTTGATATTGTAAATACAACATAAATAAGAATGTGACAGTCTTGCTGGCTAAAAACTGTCTTTGACAGCATCCTGGACCCACAAGTTGTTGAGAAGCCAAAATAAATGAAATTGGTTAGGGGAAAAGTTCCAATGCAAAAAGTAATCCAATAGTATCCATTTCTATGTTTCCAAATTCCGTATCAGAGCTTCTTGTTTCCAAAAAGTACAATCCAATACTTTTCAGATTCATTTAATTAAAAAAATGGAAATCCTTTTTGTGAAGCTTGTGAATGTTAAACTGCATTTTTGAATTATTGTAAACTTCATATTTTTTCTCTTTTTCTATTCTTTTATTAGCTAAATATAAAAAACAATACACAAAATTATAAAACAAGAAGGGTGGATAGAAAACTTAAAAAAGAAACAAAGACATACAAAGTATATATTCACATACATATATAGGTATATAAATTTTAAATATTTCAATGCGCGGAAGCCATAATTCCTTACAATTATCCATAGGTCATCTATGTTGATAGGTTATTGATTCATGAATTCTTGGTAGCATCAGTTCGGCAGACCACTGAACCAAAATATTTATTTTTCCAACACTGAAGAACAAGTCTTCTAGCTGAGGTACAGAAAATCTACCTCCTTTTTCCAAATGTCAACTCCCATATGATAGGGATAAATCTCAGAAGAATCTGACCATTTGAAAATACTGCATCTCAATATAAGTAATAACTGTTTTCACAAATGGAACAATTGTTGGGGACTGTACAAACATATACTTAAATAAAGCATTAATTTAAATGCATAAGATTCAAAGATTCAAACCTTCCAACAAAATTGGTTTTACTTAGTCAAGTTTTCCTTTGCTTATTCAATAGCTCTAGCTGTTCTAATATCACCATTTTCTATTACATTAAAGTGTAATACGATATCTCGAGTCATAAAGAGTCATAATGCTATACACGGAATCATGTATAGCAATGAACATTACTCTGTACAAAGCTGTAATTCACCGGACATGGACAATTCACTGTGTCTGTGATCCATGTATGGTTAAGAACATCACAAAGTCGCTGCTGGTTTCATCTCAAAGCTGAACATTTTATGTTACAATGGATCTGACTGGGATGCTGAGAAGTAAGACCTGGAGTCTTGTTTTCTATGTTTCCCTAGTAATTAGTATTTTAGAGGCATATTTCATCTAAATCTTGAAGTGGTACTTAGCTATCAAGATTATTTATTAATTTATCTAAATTAATGGTGGGAATGTCCTATTTTAACTATAATTGCATATTAATTAAATCAAAATCAAATCAGATATAACTTTATTGATTAATCAATTTACCGAACATTCAAAAAGAATAAAATAAGCTAAAATGAAATAAAGTGATACAAAATAGAGTAAGTTCAGTTGAAATAAAAGATAACAGAGTACAGCAAAATAGTGTAAGATAAAAGAATGTAGAAACATAAGATGAATACTAAAATACAAAAGTATATACTGTATGTTTAGATGAATTCATCATCTCAATTTAATAACCTTGAGTATAAACTTAGCAGTTTTAATGGTTATATATGTTTTTGTGCCCTAAAGGAAATGAGATAACCTTTTATTATGACCCCAATGTGTAGCTATGTCAAATAGAGTCTGTAAATACTAAGCCCTTGCTGGGCATAGAGATGGCAATGGAAAACCAAGCACAATATCTTCTATTTCTGGCACTCCACAAACACAGGTTTTCTCTGAGTGTGGCACTTGGTGGAGGTAACATTTAATAAATGGGAAAACATTTCATATCAATATTTCATAACCAATGTGCATAAATATTATAATGTATAATGTAACAAATAAAATAATTGAAATGAATTGCAATTAACTATTAAAAGAAATAAGATAAAAATGAGCGCTGATGATATCTAATCAAAATACATATTCTATACAAACTGACAAGATGGTTAATTCATTACTTCTCTTTTTGCCTTTTATGATTTTCCGTAGCCTTTATTTTATTCATAAAAACTTTGAATTATCATGCAAGGTAGATGCACAGTGATAGAACATTCATCTGATCCTTTGGTTCAAGTTACAGCTATGCATGTATATTTTATAATCCACTTGATTTTAAAAAGTAAAATTGTAAAGGTCTCATTCACTTTGTGGGCCTGCTCAAATTAACCAGAACATCCCAACCCAGGTGAATGCAACAATTATTGCTTTCTCCAATAACCATAATCAAGAGGAAAAGTTAATATTTCTTTCTGGGCTTGATCTGTGAAACCCCGGGGGCATCTGAAGTGTGTTACACAGTCACCAGGACAAAAGCTGATGTCATTGTTTACTGGAAAACATATAGTAAACAAAAGAGAATACAGATGGGTATTGGGCAGTGGTGGGATTCAGCCAGTTCACACCACTTCGGTCAAACCGGTAGCTAATTTTTTGTTGTCCAGGTCCAGAATGGACTTCTGGAAGTGGCATCCACACAGAGAACCGGTTGTTCACATATTTGAATCCCACCACTGGTATTGGGATTAAAGACAAAAAAAATATATTTCAAAAGTAAATGTAAAGAAAGGAACAATACTACAAACAGAGACTTGGAGAAACTTGCTGTGAAAGAAATCTTGGAAGACATTGACTTTGTCCAAAATAAAATTTCAAATACGTATTGAGTATTTGCTCCAAAATTCTGCATGTGACTTATTCCTTCCTGAATCCTGGAAAATTCTCTGGCCACAATATTCTGGAGTATGATCTCTTTTCAGCTTCCTTTTTCCTGGCAAGACCCATACTTCTTCTGACTCTTTAACCTCAGGAAGAGAAAGGAATAGCATTTCGACAGTGTTGTGTCCTGGGCCTGATGAGGGAACTCAGCAGGCCCAGAAATGTTGCAAATGGCCCCGGGCAACCTAAAAACTGCCCGGGACCAGACTGGCTGGCGCCGGACTACTGCGCATGTGCAAGGCGCAAAGAAAGAGGGATTCCTATTGCCTGGACTGACTGGGGGTTGAAAATCTATAAAAGGCCTGCGTGCCTGTGTTGCAGTTGCTTGGAGTGGAGTAAGGAGAAATAAAGGAGTTTGGTTTACGATGTGTCGTGCTTCAATGCCTCGAATCCTGAAACACAAAAGTGGTGACAAGGATGGGATTGCTGCAAGGAAAAAGGCAGTAAGAAGAGGATAAGCCTCATCTGAAAAGCCTGAAGCCTGGGAATCGGCGTCCAGCTCTGCACTCACCTGCCAGTATAGCATTGCTGGAGCTGAGCTTGGCAAATGGGCCCTTCCCCTCAACAAAGGCTTGCAGCGAGGCATTCGAAGCGGAAGGTGTCAAAGATTGGACATCTGTCCGGGTTCAATGTCTCTCACCCAGAACGCTGGAACTCCTACGTGGTCCAGGTGGAAAATTACGTAAGGGTTAACCAGGTTCAGGAAGACGGCTTGAAAGCAGCAACCTTGCTGTGCGTCTGTGGTCAGGACACTTTTGATGTAGCCAAGAACCTGGTAGCCCCAGCACCGCTGGAGTCTGTCACCTATACAGACCTAAAAAATATGCTGAAGGATCACTTCCACCCCAAGCTTTCTGTGATCGCGTGGAGGCATGCTTTTGAGCAGAGGGATCAGAAGCCAGGTGAATCCACTGCTGAGTTCATTACTGCGT